AAAGAAAGAAAGAAAGAAAGAAAGAAAGAAAGAAAGAAAGAAAGAAATTCAAACCTTTACTGCACTGCTGCTGCTGACAGTAATGGTCATGAAACCAAGGAATTTCAAGTTCAGGGCATTCCAAACAGACTGCTCTATTAAATTCCATGAGACGACTGTGGATTCTCGTATTTAAGAAAGGAGGTAAGTCTGAAATTTAAAATACTAGTTAGAAGTAAAATCTAAACCTGGTACCTCATAAACCCTGTATTAATACAGACTATCCCCCGTACCTGGAATGTATTCCCCACCTTCCCACCTCCTAGAATACCCTAGTTTCCTTCAAAACTCAGCTCAAATATCTTCCACATGAGACCTTTCCTAATCCCCAAACTGCTAATCCTGCTCCCCCCATAAAAAAATTATATTTATGTTTGTGTTTATGTGTGTACATGGTGGCTACCCCCAATAAAATGTAAGCTTTTTGAAGGCAGGAACCATTTCATTTTTGTCTTTGAACTGCCAACATCTAGGACAGGGCCCAGAATTTGGTAAGACCTTATTAAACATTTGCTGATGAACCCACCATGTTAGTGATACATTTTGTCATAATTTTTTTAAGCAAAAAAGTGAAAAAATGAAGCTCATTTTTATTACGATCTTAGAGGAAGTGGGGCTTTTTTTCTTTTTTGAAGGGGGTATCCTCCAGCAATGTATTTGATATTGTGTATAAACTATTTTTTGATCACATAGCTAGCAAGTGTCAAAGGCAGGATGCCAATGCACCATTACACCTCGTTGCGTTTTGTAAATATTACTTAAAATAACCGTATGGTTAGAAGTGATTGGGACCTACCACATGTCCTAACACCTTAAATTATGTTAAAAAAAATTTCAGTTCAGCTGGGGCTGGAGTTCTATACATAAAATACACACAATGGATTTTTTTTTTTAATGTTATAGATACTCACATTGAAATTGTAAGTCCAATTTGGCTAGGAATTCAATGTTAAATATTGCCTTTATCAGATCTTCCGGAAAATACTCAGCAAGGGCCAATGTAAAGCCAAGAAACACCAAGATATGAGGTTCAAAGACATCTGGAAAGAAAATAGGATTCTTAAAAGAACTACTCATAAAAGTACCAGGGTCCTCATTAAAAAAGGTACAGGGCCCTGGACAGCTCACAGATTTTTGCACAGAGGATGTTAAAATTAATTATCCCAGAGACCTTTGAAGGAAAAATGTCACAAAAGGGTAACCTGGGTAAATGTATGGGAAAGTGTATAAATGGGGAGAATGAGGAGGAGGTGGGACCACTGGTGGGGGTGGGGAGGGGATATTGGGGAGGATGGCACTCGGGAGAAGCTACTACACACATTGCTCTGGTCACAGTAGAGTATTTATAGGACTTCTAGCACCAGCTGATCATACCACCTCTTTCCCTCTAAGCTGCCCCTCTGAGTCACTTGTCAACAGCATAGGACCCAACTGGCTACACTCTGGGGCGGCTCTGATAACACATGTACACACACATATGTATGTATTTGCATACACATATATGTGTATATATGTGGTGTGTGTATATATACATACATACATATACATATACATATATATATTATACACACACACACACACACACACACACACATATATGTATGTGTATGGCACAGAGGATACAGCACTAGGCCTGGAGTCAAGAAGATTCATCTTCCTGAATTCAAATCTGGCCCCGGACACTTCCTAGCTGTGTGACCCTGGGCATTTCACTTAACCCTATTTGCCTCAGTTTCCTCATCGGTAAAATGGGCTGGAGAAGGAACTGGCAAATGACTCCAGTATCTTCGCCAAGAAAGACCCAAATGGAGGTCACGAAGAGTCAGACATGACAGAAACAACTGAACAACAAGTATATGTTTCTGATAAATATGTAGGTATAAAATGAGAAGACAGAGCTAAGTGATTCTTAAACAACCCCCTAACTGGCAAGTTCTAGGCATTCAATATACTCTGGTAGCAGCAATAAAAAATACAGTGACTACACATCTACTGAAATAAAACCAGTCCAGAAGAATAAGGTAATAATTCCAAGCCCTCTTTTTTTGTACTAGTCTGACCAAACTAAAAAAGCGACAACCTTTGCTTTGATAATATACTTGTGATTTCCAGGAGAATGTAAACTCCTTGGGGAAAGAAGGCTACTTTCCATTTTCTCTTTGCACCCGCAGTGCCCAGGTGAGTGTCCTGCACATAGAAGGCACTTAATAATTGCCTACTGAATTGAATCTCCTTGACATGACCACTCCCTCCGCTGACACAGATCACTGTCCCTCTAGCTTCAGGCGTTGCTATGGTGAAAAACCATCCTCCGATGGCTACTTCCTCGTGCCTTTCTGGCCATCAGAAGGCAGACACACAACCTATCACCCCAGGTCCTTCTGGCTGAACAAAATCTTACAGAGCTGACACTCTATTGGCAGTTTCTGAGAATTCTGGGTCACCTCTCTGTCGCCTCCTGTCCGTCCTCCACTAAGCGGGCAAAGTTCCTTCCTGCAGCACATTTTTTCTCTCCAGCTTGACCACCTGGACTTGGACTCTGCCATCGTCGAGCACCCAAGAAAGCTTCTCATCAGTAAACTCATCAACCCTTCCAGATTTCATCAGCTTTAGTTCTCAGACCTCTTCAGAACCCTCCGTCCCTCTGACCGCAGGGCTAGAGCAGGGGTGGGAACCTGCGACCTCGAGGCCGTACATGGCCCTCTAGGTCTTCAAGAGTCTGAAACTAGTGAAGTTTAGATTCAGTCAAAGGGCCACACTTGAGGACCTAGAGGGCCACACGTGGCCTCGAGGCCACAGGTTCCTCACCCCTGGGCTAGAGAAAAGGACAAAGAACTCCTCCCAAAGCTTCTGTTTAGAGAGGGTCTGGAGCTCCACCAGCTCTTGGTTTCCCGTCAGCTGCTCTCCTTAGACTGGAGTCTACCATGCCCTCCCTCTGGGTACCACATTCTCTTCCCTCCCCCCACAACCTGTTTTTAGCTTTCTTCTCTGTGTCTCTGTTCCTCCCCTCCCCCAGATTACAAGCTCTCTGGGGGCAGGGATTTTTTTTTTATTTTCTTATTTGTATCCCCAGCACTTAGCATAATCTTTGGTCATAGCTGGCAGTTAATAAATGTTTACTGATTGGCACAGATCTGACCATATCACTGCTCAATAATTCCAGCGGCTCCCTATCATGGCTAGGAGCAAATAAAAATTCCTCTATTTGGCACTTCAAGTCCTTCACAACCTGGCTCCAACCTACCCTGCTAGTCTTCTTATAAATCAATTCCCCTTTACATCCTGTACCATCCAGTCAGACATTGTGTGTGTGTGTGTGTGTGTGTGTGTGTGTGTGTACGTACACATATACATATACACACACATACATACATATATACACACACATATATGTACACACATATATACTTATATGTGTATATATTGTCTCCTCCCCCAATAGAATGTAAACTAAGAAAAGTGACTAAATCATCCAAACCCTATGGCCCAGCAATTCTACTCCTGGACAAATAATCCAGGGAAATCAAAAGACAGAAACAAAGGCCCAGTATATGCCAAAATATGCATAGCAGCACTCTGTGAACAAAGAAGTGAAAATAAAGAGTACCCAGTGATTGAAAAATAAGGGGAGAATTATGATATATGGATATAATGAAATATTATGATGTGGTAAGCATTAAGGAGCTCCCAGGACTCAGTTTGGGGAAAGTGAGGTCAAGGTTTAAGTCCATCTTCCATTAAATATGAAAGAGACTAGATCCATTGGGAATGAAGATAAAGAGTATAGTTTATAATACATACTGAATATGGACAGAAACTGACCCAAATTGATTTTTTTTAAAGTACTCAACAATGAATTTTTTTCTTTATGACCAGACTTTGATGTTCATCTTAAAATTGCACAGTGAAAACATTCTCCAACCCAACAGTTCATTTCAACATCATATACCTACTTAAATGTGAGTTAAGGCACTGGATACAAACTCCAAAGAATTCATCCCTTTGGGGTGGATCGTAGTTAAGGACACTGAAGGGAAGTAAGATAGAATGGATCGCCAAAGGATGGATCTGAACAAAAAGAACAAAGTTGTTAGGTTTTAAATAATAATTCAGTAAAGCACCTAGATAAAAGAATCATAGACTTGGAGCAGGAAGAGGTCTTAGATGGCATTAAGTACAACTTTCTAAAGAAGTTTGATTTTTAAAAAATCCACAGCCATATGTCACTTATAAAGATGGTGGAGTGTGAGGGCTGGAGCTGAGAAAGTCAGTCTAATTGCTAACAGAAAAAGACGGAGAGCTAAACTAGAAATCACAGAATGACTTCAAATGTACCACAAGGGATCAAGACGGCTCTACTACATAAAGCACACAAAATCATGTAATCATACTAATACTAAATAGTATTACTATTTTATTATTAGTAATACTAATAGTAAAACATACTAATAGTTAATATAATATTTATACTAATAGCAACAATAGGATCTATGATTTTATCATTATGAAGAACTATGGTGTGGGGATGCAGATCATACACAACCCATCTATAACTTAGAGGCACACAGAGGTCATGGCTTACCCAGGTTGGCAATGAGATTTGACTCAAAGCTCAACATTCCCCCCACTACAATTCACTGTATGCACTGTAATATTTACATAAGCTTAACATGAAACATTGAAATTCAACTAGTACCTTATTGATGTGCTGGACTGTCACAGAAGCTATCTTGTCAAGCAACGGAGCACTAAGGTAGTTAGTCTTGACAATAAAGGCAGATAAGTTGACAACGTTTGTGTATGTGATTTGGTCACTCAAGCGTTGCAAGGTGACAACTGTTTCTTCAAGAAGTTCTTCCTCAAACCATTTTCCATGAACATATTTAAGTTCTTCCCACAACACATTCAAATTGTTGGCTTTTTGTAATCTCTGATAACCATAAGTATTTAATTGTGGAAGTAGTTTGATATTTTTCTGACAAATATTGTCCAGATGGGAACGGTCATGTTGAATCCATGTTGAAAGAGATGATGCAAAAGTATTGAGATCACTTAAACTACATTGCGGTAAAATGGATTCCACTCGGGAAAGCCCTGATTCATCCAGGTGAGGAAAAGGAAGCATGGCAGTAACACGGACCAGCATAGAAATTTCATTAGGTATGACACTATTTCTTAAATGGCTGTAAAAAAAAAAAAGAAAAAGAAAAAGGACAAAACCACCATTATAAAAAAAATTTATACATAAAGTACATTATATTAGGTTGAAACAAAACATTTATTAGATGAGAAATAGTTCACTGTTGTCATCTACTATTCAATCCAATGGAAAGTAAGGTCCTTGAAGGAAAGGATTGTTTCATTTTTGTTGGGGTTCTTTTTTAATCCCTAGTGCCTAACATATTACCTTATCTAAAGTAATCAAGTAATAAGTGGTAGCTGAATTAAATCAAATATTATATGTTAACTAGATAAGCGGTGTCAAACTCAGATACAAATGGGGCCACTGAACCATATGTAAGGATCTTGGCAGAATCACATACTGACTTAGAAAACCACACATTAATATTATCTATGTTCTCCTGTATTTTAATTTTTTTTTTAAAAAATTTTTCCCAATTATGTTTTAATCTGGTTTGGGCTCACTCAGGCAACCTGTTTGATTAGGTAATGTGGTGGCATAGATCAAAAATACAAAAAAAATTTGAGGAAGAAGATAAAAATAAAACAGTATTGAGTCATTGAAAGATACCAGAGGCTCATTTGTGGTGGAAACATGGCTTTTTTTCTATTTAGCAAATAGAAGATGGTTATAAGGAACAAGAGAGATGTGCTTATGTACAGAAAAGATTTCTAAAAAAAATATAAACTATATATGAAACTTTTGGGGTTTTTGTTTTGTTTTGCTTTTTACAAAAGCAATTCCCAATCTAACAGAGTGGCAGAATGGGCAGAGAAACAGGCTTGGAGGAAGGAAGACCCTGGGTCCAGCCCAGCCTCAGACACATACTAGCTGTGTGACCCAGGGGAAGTCACTTAACCTCGCATATTCTTGGCAGCTCACTGAAACTATTAATTGTAGAACAGTTGCAGATCTGCATTGGTAGAAGGAACTTTTGCACCAGGAATTCTCTAAACCAATGAAATCAGATCCAAATAAAAAAGAAAACAGAAACAAACAAAAAGTCTTCCAATCTACCAACGATCAAATGGTATTAGGAGATAATTTTCAGGAAATATAGATGGCCAATAATCATTTTTTAAAATGTTCGACCTTGTTAATAATAAAAGAGATACAAGTCAAAACATTGTTGAGGTACCACCATTCACCTATCAACTTGGTAAAAAATAACTAAAATCAATAAAACTCAATGTTCAAGTTTGGTCCCAAAGAAGATATAAGACAGTTCCCCTTGCTCATCTATACAGGTGGGAGGTCGGTTAAGTATGGAACACTGAATAAAAGCAGATTTCTTTTTTCTTTTGATGATTGATTTTGCAGAATTTTTTTTTCTCTTCTGCTTAAAAAATATTCTCTGTTATAAGGGATGACTCTAACAACAGGAAAAAGGGGGGAAACAGGAAAATCTAGGCAATGTAAAAACAAAGAATATCAACAAAAACTGATTTAAAAACTCAATGATGACAAGATTGTGGACAAACATACACTCATTCATTGCTAATGGAATTGCAAACTTGTAGAATTTTTTTTTTGGTAGAGCAATCTGGAAATCTGTGGTAAAAATTCAAAAGCAAACAAAAAACCCAACACAAAAATGAAAAAACCATACTTTCATCTAATAATTCCATTTTTTTGCCACCTAATAATTCTAATATTTAGATATACTCCCTGTGAATTTATCAAAAACAAACAAAAAAAGGTGCTACCTGTTCAAAGATTTTCATAGCCGCATTATTTTTTACTGAAAAACATCCAAAAATAAGTAAACTGATAAACTGATATAATAGAATACTATAACATAATTAAAACCAACAAATATGAGAAATAGATGGAAATCTAGAAGACCTTTATGAAAGAATGCTAAGTTTAAAAAAAAAGCTAGAAGAACTAAGTGCCCACTATGACCACACTAAGGAAAATTAAATGAAAACAGAGACTCCTGATGGAGATTTAGATGAGTGACTAAAAAAAGTTAAAAGATATTTCATAAGCTGAAGTTAAACTCACTTAAATGTAAATAGTAACAAAGTAAGGTCAGTCTGATATACAGTTGTTGAATATTATAATAAAGCTTTCAAAAAAACATCAAGAAACCAGATCTGCTTGGGGGTTAGCCCTGAATCCGTGCTAGAAAACAACCAAAGCCTGACAAAATACATCAATCACAGAATACTGTCCAAGATAGGTGAGGGGGCTGCAGAGACATCAATCGGACCCAATAATAATCGCAGAACTCCAGGGACCACCTAGTCTGATTCCGTCAAAGTGGGAGTATTTTCATATTATTATTTTATAATATTCATCATAAATAATATTATGCCTTAAAGGTTCTTATGGTGGCCATATTTTTAATCCCAGTAGATTCTGCCTTCAAAATGAAACATCACATTTGAACACAGCTACACTGCCAAAAATTTTGTGGGTGGCTTATCATATGAAAACTAAAACAAACAGCTATATTTTAAACTTACCTAAGTAGGAATTTTCTAAGAATCCTAAAAAACTCTGAATTATGAAGATGCAGGTGAATCAAGGCTTTGGTTATCTTTGCCAGTTCCACTGGTTTATAGACATGCAAGTATTTATATAAGACAGAAGCAATTCTGAAAGCAATGTCAAACAATGATTATTATAAAAAATTCTTCATTTTTAGTAGCTTATATTAGACAACCAATAACCAGAAAAGTATCTTGAATTCGAAGCTAATTCCAAACTAATTGTTGCCATTAAACTTAATTCCTCCAGCCAGCAACCTTTACCACAGTTACTACTAAGTAGCACAATTTATTGCCTTTTCCACTCTCCTCCCAGCCACCTCTCTGACAAAGATGATCAAAAGTATTCAGGTGGCCCCAAAGCAAGCAAGATGAAACAGGAAAGATATAAATAATCAACAACTGGATAATAGAGAGTTGATTCCATTTAATTAACATTAAACAAACTATATACTTTCTCTTGTTCTAAATTCTTTTATTTAATTAAAGAGATAATAAATGTGCATGAAAACGTCAAGGTCACACACAAAGTAGATAATTAGTGGAAACTCAAAGTCTGTGTGGCCATGAATTCTCTTTAATAGTAATCAATGCTTTGAAAATTGTGCCTATGTCTTTTGTTCCTCTACATTTTCCTACATTATGATGTTCTTTTTGGGTCTAAAAGCATCTATAAATCAGGAAATTATAGTATAATTGCTGCTGTTCTCTACTTCGCAAAAGAAAATTATAAAATAATCAAAGGACAATTCTCCACATGCCTTTGGACATACAAAAAGAATTGTATTAAAGTACACATATTTTTCTTGAAATGGTAGTAAAAGGACAATTCAGTTATAGTATCAGAAATTAAAAATAAAATTACTTTTCAATCAGATATGAATCTTTGCTATTCATTTCTTCCATTGTGACCACTATGGCTAATGCTTGTTGACTAGTAAGTTCATCCATCATCATCTGGAGAGATGACATAAGCCTAGAAAACAGGGAAAAAGTTGAAAACGCTGAAAAGCTGACAATTCTCCAAAATTTTAAGGGGGAATTTTTTCAGAAAAAGGAAAGAAAGAAACTTCTTCTTAAGAAAAATTCAATGGATAATCTCATCTCTATTGTTTTTATTCACATAGTTGGAGAAGGATAGGAATCAATCATTATCTCAGAAACAACTACAGTATTATACAATAGAAATCAAAACTTTTTCTAATTTTATAAGTCTCCCTATACGTCAACTATAATAAAAAGAAATGTTTTGTATCGATACTTTAAAAACTGAAGAATTAGGCTAGGATGTTAAAATAGAGTGAAAAAAGGAAACTATTCAAAGCTAGTTGGATAAGTATAGCACATAATTCTACAAACTATGAACAGATATGCCTATTATGCTTGAATATTAATACTTGCATAGAAATTTTTAAATGCTGGAACCACATTCTAATAATATGGAAGGAAACTCAGAATATGAAAAGTCTATTTTGGGCACTATACAAGGGGCTTGGTTAATGAAGTATCAAAAGATTCCATTTACGTTTTAGGATTTCCTATAAGGCAGTCCCAGAGCATGGGCTTGGAAAACATCTGTTCCTGCTTTGTCTTTCATGTGCAATGCCCTCCCTAATTACCTCTGCCTATATCCAAATTCTACCCAAGTCAAGTACCACCTCTTCTGAAAAGGCTTCCTTAAACATTCTAATCTATATAGATGTCCCTTCCTCTGAACTAAGATATTTATTGTCTATGGCACACAATATAATATTTAATTATCCATTTTGCTATTATTTCAAAATTTACTTGTATATTCTTATCTCCCCAACTACACTATAAATTCCCTGAAAGCAGGTACTATGTTTTCTATTTCTCCAATATGCCAAACAATATTTAGCACCATGTTACACAAACAGAAGACGCTAAAAACAACAACAACAAACCCTGTTGAATGAGGAGAACTTAGTTATAATTTCATCTAATCATCACATTCCCACTTCTGTGTCTTCTCCTAAGACTAGATTGGCCTCCCTGTTTCAGCTTGATCCACTCTTTCCCAGCATGCAAAGATGGGAATTCCCCTTTCCTCTAAAAAATCCTCCTTGCTAAACTTAAAAAGGGATGGTGAATGTCCCTCTACCAAGTCAACTCCTATTCCACATTTTTTGTTCAAAATAATAACTACACAGTGCCATACCAAACTATCAAAAAATTATTTTAAGAAGCTAGAAAAAAATAATAATAACGTTCATCTGAAAGAACAAAAGCTCAAGGATATAAAGGTAATCAACGAGAAAACAAAAAACAAAAAAACATGAAAGAAGGTACCAGATCTCAAAGTATATTATAAAATGGTAATTATAAAGACAATCTGATACCGGCTAAGAAACAGAGCGTTGGATCAGTGGAATAGATTAGGTACAAATTACATTATAGTAAATGACCACAGTAATTTAGTATATGATAAATCCAAAGATGCAAGTTTTTGGAACAAAAACTCATTATTTGACAAAAACTGCTGGGAAAACTGGAAAACAGTACAGCAGAAACTAGGTATAGACCAACATCTCACATCGTATACCAAGATAAGGTGAAAATGGGCACATGATTTACACATAAAAGGTGATACCACAAGCAATTTAAGAGAGCATAGAGTAATTTATCTGCCAGATTTACGAATAAGGGAAGAATTTAAGACACAAGAAGATAAAGATAGATTACAAAATATAAAATAGATAATTTTGATTACATAAAATTAAAAAGGTTTTGTACAAACAAAACCAATGCAACCAAAATTATAAGGAAAACAGAAAATTGGAAAAATAATTTTGCAACAAGTATCTCTGATAAAGGTCTCATTTCTCAAATATATAGAAAACTGAATCAAATTTATAAAAATGCAAGTCATTCCCCATAAATAGTCAAAGGATATGAACAGGCAGTTTTCAGACAAAGAAATCAAAGTCATCTATAGTCATCTGAAAAAATGCTCTAAATCACTATTGATTAGAGGAATGAAAATTAAAACAACTCTGAGGTACCACCTCATACCTATCAGATTGGGTAATATGACAAAAAAGGGAAATGTTGGATATTGGAGGGGAGGTGGGAAAACTGGGATACTAATACACTGTTGGTGGAGTTGTGAACTGATCCAACCATTCTGGAGAGCAATTTGGAACTATGCCCAAAGGGAATAGTGTCAATATGTGTTAATATCCAGCAATACCATTGCTTGGTCTATATTCCAAAGACATCCAAAAATCATCAACTGGGGAATGGCTAAACAAGCTGTGGTATATGATTGTGATGGAATATTATTGTGCTATAAGACAACGACAAGCAGAATGATTTCAGAAAAACCTGGAAAGACTTACATGAACTGATGCATGCAGTAAACAGAACCAGGAGAGTGTTGCGAATAGAACCAGGACAACATTGTACACAATAACAGAAATATTGTTCAATAAAGAACTGTGAATGACTTAACTATTCTCAGCAACACAATGATCCAAGACAATCCCAAAGGACTAATGATGAAGCATACTATCTGCCTCCAGAGAAATAAATTATATTTGAATACAGACTGAAACATGCTATTTTTCACTTTCTTTTTTCTTCTTTTATTCAAGTCTTCTTGTACAAAATGACTAAACTGGAAACGTTTTACATAATTGCACACATATAACCTATATATGATTGCTAACTGTTTCAGGGAGGGGAGAGGGAAAAGAGGGGGAAGGAACTCAAAACTTCAAACAAAAATGTTTAAAAAATTTTAAAACAAGTAGTGTGTAGTTTCAATGTTGCCATTAAGAAATTAAATGTCCATTAGTATTGTGGGAAAAGCACTGTATTGGGATTTAGAAGACTGGGACTTGAATGATGGCTTGCCTATCTGTATAAGCAAGGACAATTCCAGGGTAACTTTAAACTTCTCTCTGATTTAGTTTTCTTGTCTTTAAAATGAGGTAGCTAGACTGGATCATTCTTATTGTCTCTTAATGATCTAAACCTTACGATTTATCCCTATATATGTATATCAGTGCATATATTAATTTAATAAATAGACACAGTCATGTAATATGGGGACAGATGTTCTAATTCTAACAAAACTACAAATAAAACTAAAATTAAAAAAAAATTTTAAATAAAATAATTATTATAAAAACTTAATAATACTCTCAAATACCAATAAATCACACAGCTGAATCTCAAATAAAACCACAAAATTCAAACTATCTACAATTTTGTTTTAAAATAAAAAATAATAAAAGCTAACTAACTAGAAAATAGCAATAACTTATTTGTTCTGGATTATGACTTGATACTCAATAGTCTAAAAAATGTATTGCATACTTAATGAAATGTCTTAATTTAATTTTTTCTATTTGTCTTCCTGTCATTACTGCTATCTATTTCAGTGTTTGGCCAATAGGTAACTTTTGCTTGAAGGAGGCAGGAACCAAGTCTAGTTCATATATGCCTATCCTGCCACACACACAGAAACAGAACAAATGCTTGTGAAAACAGTAAAACTGTTTAGGGCTGAGTATGATAAGATAATTGGGAATGTTCAATTTCCAGGGCTCAAAGGTCTTGTGCCTGAGGGTAAGTCCAGCATTACATTCATGAAAGAGAAATAAGATCACATATTTAGAGCTGGAAAGATCTTAAACGTTATCCAGTTCATACCCTTCATTTTAAAGATGAAAAAATGAAGCCTAGGGAGCTTGATTTTCCTAGGAGTAGGCAACCTGTGGCCTTGAGGCCACACGTTGCCCTTTAGGTCCTCAACTGCGGCCCTTTGACTGAATCCAAACTTCACAGAACAAATCCCCTTAACAAAAAGATTTTTTGTCAATAAAGCAAAGTACATTTTAAAAAATACTCTTGTACATCTCTTTTTATAGGATATCAGTGGACAGTAAAGTGGAGTAAGTAATGTGGGAGAAGAAAACTTGAAGACGGATTTGAGCAGTACTTCGAAGGAGATAATTGAGGTGAGATGGGGATGATTCTTTGTCTTACCATTCAGTTTCTTTACCTTGAATCATGTTCTGTGGTGGCTGAGAACTATCCCCAGGGTTCTACCTTGGTCTGGCTTATGCCACATGTGCCCACACATACAGAGGGGGCCAGCACAGGAACATGAGTCATAAGCAACCTGGGGCTCTTCTGCTGAATGGTCTTGCTGGGCATGTTCTTGGTTCCCATGCCCAGACTGTGATAGTACGGTTCCAAGAAGCTGCAGCATATTCAGTGGCCATATTCTGGTAAAAATGTTTTGGCATATAGTCTAAACCAGGTGGAGGGTACTTGACGAGCCTCAGAACCATCAGTGAGTTAGTGTGGTGTCTACCCCAATGACGTGAAGACTTTCCTGGCAGAATAGGCAGATGTGAACATCTGCCTATTTCAGCGAGCCATGAAAGTAGGGGAAACAGGTGCCGTGGAACACTTAGAGCTTGGTTAGACATCAAAGACAACAAGGTCAACCACTGCATCTTGAGCCATCACCAGTCGTCTTGACTTTTGTCTTGCCACTGGACTCGAATGACTCTCGAAGTCCTGTGACAACAGGTAAGTGATGAAGTAGCAGGTACAGATATGCTGGGAGCTGTAGTAACAACCCTGCACATAGGTGGCCCAGGACACTGGGTTATCTTCTCACTGGACTGAAGCAACAGTGGAATTTGGCAGCCCCTTGGGTGAGTAACCAGTCTTTTCAAGGACTTTACCGCTCACCTCCTTAATAAAAGGATTTGTTCTGTGAAGTTTGGATTCAGTCAAAGGGCAGCACTTGAAGACCTAGATGGCCACATGTGGCCTCAAGGCTGCAGGTTCCCCACCTCTGCAAGGTCACACAAGTTACTACTTGAACCAAGATTTAATCTCATGTCCTCTGACTCCAAACTCAACACTCTTTCCACTGTACCATGTTATCCTCCCAATGGAGGCCAGGAGAGACCATTTGCCTTTTTATGTATCCACAGACACAAACTAAATTCTTATGGCCCCAAGAAAACCCAGGATGGAAGCAGAAATCAAAGAGTGATTTTTCATAGATCTTCTCAAGATTAAGCCCAAGATGGGCAAACCCAGAGTTTCAATTCCAAGCCATCTTGATGTCTGTGTGGCTAAAACTGAAGCCCTGGGTTTATATAAAAGGTTCAATTTTGGGGACTCCTCACATAGCAGGCTTTGACTTGCACGGCTTGCCCAGGTTTTCTCCCAAGAATGTGAGAATAGAATGCTATTAAGATCTCCACAATAAAAGCAAAACTGATCCTCATTTCTCATGCATGCATTCAAGCTAACAAAACATCAAAAATAGGCTTTATTTAACCCAAAAGGAAACACAAAGGATTCTCATTCAAGCCCATTAACAGACATGGCAACTCTCCCACCTCTAGTGGGCCTTCATCTTTCCAAGAAACCTGAACAATCAAACAGTGTAGTAGTACTGCTCTGGGGGTGAGGACCACCCCAACATAGAGAGAGGAACCAGAGTTGCTAACCTTGTAATAATACCTTTCCTCCTATGAACTCAATTACTCCAGAGACCTATACAGTCCTTCAGCCATAGTATAGGAAGGGTCCATTCAGGGAAAAATATTCCTTTGATATATTCCATGGCATATTTGTCAATCTCTCTGCATCCTTGCATAGGCAGTATTTGGCCAATACTTAGTAGTTATTAGCCATGGTCGACAGATAAGCAGTGGAGAAAGGTGTTTGAAGTACATTTCTATAATTACAAAAAACTCAGAACTGCTTTCTGCTCACCTCTACAATATAACTGGACACACTGCTTGCCCTCCCAAATTTAGGGGAGAAACTTGAATTTTAAATCTCCATATTTCCCCAAAGAAAGAAGCAAATCATCTTCAGATGGACTTACTGTTTCTCTTCCGTTGGTCCAGCCAAAGGTCCCAAAGCAACAAATAATTTTACGAAGCAAGCAGGATCATGGGAAAGAGCAATCATTTTAGAGAGCTTCTCTCTGGCTAATACTTGAAATGGAAAATTATTAAATTGCAGAGATCGGTACAGTACAAGAATAAAACTGAGGGTATCCAAATTCAGATGAGTAGTATTGCTGATGAACACATAATTGCACTTTTCTAATAATGGGTAATAATTATATCCAATCTTTTGGAGGAATCGCACTATTCTTATTGAAGTATTAAATTGGGCATGGTCCACTGTGTCTAAGAGAAGCTCTGTTTTGTTCACGAGCCGTTCACAAAAATTCTGTGAGATAACAGAAGATATATTCACCATCAAGACTGACAATGTCCTAAAAAATAAAGAGATTTTTTTCAACTGTTACATATTATTTTAAGAATCACAATTATTTCTTTAAAAAGAATGATCAGATATGAGAAATATTATAGATATAACATAGTGGAATGGTCACATTAAAAAAACAACGTAAAATCAAATCCAAGACAAGAAACGTTGAAATGCTACTTTACTAGGTTCTTGAAACCCTCAATTTTTTTTCTCAGCATTTCTGTGACTGAAATTGCTATTTATGTATCCCCAATATTAATACTTCAGTAATTGGGAATAAACTGGTACCAGCTGCCAACCAAAGTGAAGAAAAATATTCCCATTTGAGTGTGCTTAAAAGTGTTTTTCCCTGAAGTCTTTATTTTCCCACTAATTTAAAAGTAACAAAAGAGACACCAATACCTTCAATGTCATTTTTTTCACTTTTTGGAACACACTGGCCTAAGCATGACTCAATATGAAGTGGTGTTGGTTTTATTTTTATTATTACTATTGTTGTTATTAGGCATAATAACAACAGCAGTTAGCATTTACATAGTGCTTTAAAGTTTGCAAAGCATTTTACATATGTTTACTCACTTGATACAACAACTCTGTAAGTGCTAATATTATCCCCATTTTACAGAACAGGAAACTAAGATAGATGGAGTGTTAAGTGACTTGCCCACGGTCACATAGCTAGTAAGTATCTGAGGCTAGATTCAAACACGGGTCTTCCTGACTCCAAGGGTAGTGCTATATCCACTGAGCTATCTAGTTTCCCTTTATAGGGAGGTGCCAAGACATAGGGAAAAGGATGCTGGATGTCCAGTCAGAAAGACCTGGGTTCAGATTCTTCCCTGACAATTCTTGGTTGTGTAAGTTGTTATCTGGTAAATCAATTACTACATCTGAGTCTCAGTTTCCTCATCTGTAAAATGGGTGTGAGACCCATAGCATCTACCTCACAGGGTTACTGAGTGACTCAAATGAGGTACTTATGTGTAAAGCATTTCACAAATTTTAAAAAGCTTTATAAAGGTCACTTATCACCACTGCCATTTTTTAATAAAAAAAAAAATTTCTGTAATATGAAAGATTTTTAAAAATTCTACCAACACCGGCATGTACTGGTTTCAAAACCAAGACCTCAGAACCCTGGACAACACTTTTAAAATATTAATTTCAATTGGTCCAGAAATTTAAAAAAAATCTCATCATTATTGGGTGAAGTGGGATAGGGAAGTGTTATTTTAAACAAAAGGTAACTGATAAGATCAGCTATATTTGAGCCAATCATCATAAGCATGAGTGAGAAGGTTGAGGATGGATCAGAATAAATGTCTGTTGATAACAATTGCACAAAATCTAAAGGAAAAAGTCTGAAAAAAAAATCTAATGGCATCATAATGATTTGGTACTTCCCTTTATTTAGTTCCAATGACATCAAATGAATGAAAGCTGATTACTAATCTTAACTCTTAATAATCATTTCCATGGTTGTCCCTTTTCCAATCTCTCTCTTATCATAATAAACTGCAGTTCTGTAATTTATTTTCCAACAGCTAAGAATAGTAAACAATGTGCATCAAAAACTGTTCATTTTAAGGCACTCCCTTCCATCTTAATTCTTGGCTTGGTGCTCATTGCCACACTAAAAGTCACCACTTCCTCCTTCCTCTCAAATACTTAATTCTTCCCTTGACCTCCATATCCTCAAGCCTCCCTCTGGTTTTCCTATTGCTTATCAAAACTGGAACAAAGAAAGCTGAGCATTTTCAGTACAGTCTTTTTAGTCTATCATAAAAATAGAAGAAACAAAGTTTACTAGACCAAACATTCTACAAAGGCAAGTAACAGTGTCATCCCACATATTCTTCACAGTTCCCACAATGCTTAGAATAGTAAATGGTAGACCCAACTTAATAATATTTGTTGAAGTGGAAGAACAGGAAGTTGAAGTAATCTTCAGGGGTTACTTTTTAATTAACAGATAAGTCACACCAGCCAACAAAATTAACAACTCTCCTTTGCCAGTTTTAAAAAGAACTATTTCCAGATGGAGAAAATTAGAAAGAAACAATCTGATGGTAAATTATACACATGTTCAGCTGCATGAGATTTATTTTGATCTCTTTGGATTTGGCTGGATTGAATTTCACTATTATCATCTTTACCTTAATTCTTGCACTGAATCCAAGTTCCTGTTTAAAATATCAGCTATTTTTCCCATTAAAGGACTGATATACATCTGTTGATCCCCTAGACAGCTGGAGAATTTTGACAGCATTTCAAGGTCAAACCTATTATATGAAACACATGAGAAATAACATTAGTAATAACTTTTACATAAAGTAGATAATCCAATGCTTAGCAAATAAGAGCAATCACTTTTGTTCTTCATCAATGATTAACTTCTACATTTTTCAAAAGGCTAGAACAATTTCAATCCAGGGTTATGTATTAAGAAGGAAAATAAATTCATCTAAAAATAAATTTCTAGTTATGCAACTTTTCTATTTGATATGATATTAACAGAAAATCCAAACTTCTTACTCTGTTTTAGGAGCACATGATTACCTACTCTATCATACCAGTCATATACTCCATTATTTAAATGGATCTCTAACCTCAATGATGGGATGCTGAATTATTCTAGAAAAGTCTCTTTTTGAAGTTGGGACAAGCTATATTCATTCAACCACAAGAGGTGGCTTTAAAAAATGTTTGCTTCTCAAATTATGGACAACTGAGAAGCTAATATTCATTACACACTTACTTGACAGATGCCATGTATGTGTTTAGTAACTACTATCAGCTAACATTTTTATATAGCACTTTAATATGCAAAGAGCTTTATGCTATCTCATTTGAGGTACAGACTGACATCATTAGACATTTTGAACATGGCCAAGAATTGATATTTTATGTTATTTAATATTACTTTGAAAAAATGTTTCCTGACACAAGAACAAAATATCACGGCAGAACGTGGTCATTACATTATATGCTATTTTGAAAGGCAAAAAAACAACACAGGAGAAATAGGGCTACCTTTCTTCAAAATTCTCTTCTACAGTTTTCTTACTTTTCCCAAAAACACCTTCTTAAATGACAGGCAGCGTGATGTAGTAGGCAGAGCCATGGACCGGGAGTCAGAGGAACTGCATTTGAATCCCGGCTCTGTTCCACTTACTACCTGGGTGACCTTGGACAAGTCCCAGCCTCTCTGAGAATCGGTTTCCTACAAGATGAAGCTTGCGTGGTCCCTCCTAGCACTAAACCTAAGACCCTATGGCTGTGGCAGCGATCTCTCAGCGCCACTTAAAATATTTTATGTGACCGCTACATTATTAACACCGTGGACTACGATGACTCTCTTCTCACCTTGTAACCACTATTCCATTTTGCTCACACTAAATTTTTGGATGGCATTTAAAGGAAGAGTAAATCTGTGCAGGCAATCTGGTTACTCCAAAATCTGGAAATTCTTCATCATGACTGTGTCCTCATCAGATGGCAAATCTGCAGCTATTCCACCAGACTACAATCTAAGAATTCCAGTATCACGATTCAGAGCTAAAAGGGACCTCGAAGGCCTTCCACTCCAAACCTACTCACACCATCTTTAATGTTTGACTTTAGAATTCCAAGCACAACCATAAAGAGTTATAACCTCAAATGATATTGTGACAAGACCCAACATCCTGTACAATGCCTTTGGGAGGGACCAACTAAACCAAGTCCAAAGGGAGTCTGGAGTTAACACTAGGGAGCAGCAAGATGGTTAAAAAACATTCCTAGACATTAACGAACCTTGGGGCAAATTCCATACAAATTCCTAAGTAGAATGGCTTTTGTTATCCTTGCGTAAGCTAATAGTTCTGAAAAATTTCACTGATGAAACAAAAGAATGCTATAAATCAGCAAAAAATTTTATCTATTCATAATTCACCCCACTCCACCCCCACTAAAGTACTACTCCAATATTCTAATTCACACATTTTAAATTAGTACTACTCCAATTCAAGCATTCTACCACCCACGTAGAAACACTATCTCACCACAGCATAAAGGCAACTCTGGGTCCTCAGAAGCTGTCACAACCAAACTGAAAAGGTTTCTAGAATGGATCCAGGGTAGCTAAAGCACAGCTCCCGGTGTCAGGAGGACCCGAGTTCAAATTTGGCCTCGGACACTTACTAACTGTATGACCATGGGCAAGTCACTAAGCCTCTGTCTGCCTCAGTTTCTTCATCTGTAAAGGAAAAAAATAAACAAGGGGAATAATAGAAACTATCTCCAAGAGTTGTGATGATAAAATCAGACACTTTTTAAAAGCCCTCCGCAAACTTTAAGGTAATAGGTAAATATTAACTATTATTATGGTCATTTCACCTGAGGACCAGCCAAGTTAAGCCTGGAAAGGCTCATTATCAGGGGGTTGGCCACCAGTGACTAATTTTTTTTTTTTCAGCCACAGCTGCTCATGAAGATGAAGTGGAGGGAGCATCCACCACTATGAAACTCCTAATCGATTGTGGAAGCATTAAGCTCAGCAAGGGGCCAGTCAACTGCGACACCTTAGAAAACTCTAGGACAATGAAGCTTTTCTAATCACCAGACATTGTGTTTTATGGGGAGAACTGTATCACTGTATTCTGACTATATCACCCTATATCACAAACAAGAACCCTTAACATGGCCTTATTCTGTTTAAAGCAGAGGGCATCTGATTCTCCCATACCCATCAGGGGAAAAAACTTGCAGACATCCCTAAAACAGATCAATTTCATAACCACTGGAAAATTGTTCAGAAGACAGACAATGCTTAGAAAGAAATTCTCTGGAAGCTGAGAAGTCATTCTGTGTCATAATCTGGTAAGTGTTTTTCATCCACAGCAGTCAGTGTTTTAATAGGCCATCGGAGATGCTAAAATTATGCTTAGAATCACAGAACGTGAGAGCTGAGAATTAGAGGACTTGAGAGCTGGAAGGACCTTTGGAAGTTCTCTATTCTCCACCCCTGATTTTACAGATGAAGAAACTAAGGCCCATGGAAGTGAACTGACTTGCCCAAGGTCACAGAGTCAATGGCAGACTGGATGACATCAAGGCTAAGTGTCTTCTTAGGTGTGACACCTCTTTAGATGACTCTCTTTGCACTTACCTTCTCACTCTTTTGGGGAAGGGGAGAAAAGTTTTTATTGCTTTTTCTTTTTAAAATAAACTTACTATGCTTTCAATTAAAAAAATTGTCTATATAAAAAGGCCAGAAAAGAAGAATGGAATATGAAACTGGGACTATCATGTACAGTATGGTCAGTTTTAATTTGTCAGTTATTATATATAATACTGTGAAACCTTGTGCCTAGAGTCATGCCTTCAGAGCTTGATTTAATGCCTTCAAAGCCTATGATAAACATTCTGAGGGCATGGATTTGGGGATTTTTTTTCACTTTAAAACCCTGGGGGCTAGTATAGACCTCATACATAGCAGGAACTTAATAAATGTTGGTGGAAATGATTTACCATAGAAATTTAAATCTGAAAGGGTCCTCAGATATCAGACCACCAACCCTTTCATTTTATAACTAAGGAAATCAGAGAGGTTAAGGGTGTGGCCTAAAGCCACACCGACAGAAGTAATAAAGGTGAACTATGACCACAAGTTTTCTGACTATAAATTCAGTGTCCTTCATCTTTCAATACACTGCAGCAAAGAGGGTTGTTTGTAACCCTCCCCCAAAGACACATAGCAGAGAGGTGCGGATTTGCCCACACCAACCAAGATTACCTTCTGTCTTTTCTCTAGTCTAGTTTGCTGCCCAGTTTCTCTTGCTACCAACAAGCAACTGTTGATCTCAGCTGTTTTCTCCCTTTTCTTCCCACTTATCTGCCGTTTCTCTTAGTTTATCTTATACCTACAGGAAGGTTGATATTGTTTATAAAAGATCAGAGAGCTTTCATCTTTCTTTATGACAACCAAGTTGATTCAATTATTGAACTGAATAAAAATCAACCAATCATAGCACACTGGGTAGAATCTTCAGGTCTTCAGTTCTACTGAAGACATGGCTACTTGTTGGCAGGTGCTTTTTTTTAACTGCTGAAGAGATCTGGGATTGTTTCATTTTTTTCCCTGCCAAAGCCATGTCTGTTTCTGAAAGTCTAAAGCTTCCAAAAGACTGGTCTTTCAATAGCTGATATTTTACTATATTTATATTGTAAATTATTTGTTATATTTATTAACTCAAGCTTTATATTCCCTGTTCTTAACTGTAAAAGGGAATATGTAGAATGCCTGAATTTCTCTCTAAAAAAAAAAAAACCCTCAAAACAAATTAAATTGCTTTTTACATGTGTAGCCTTTAATTATTTTCTGTTGTTGTTGAAAAAAATGCTCCCAACCCCTACCCTATTATGTCTCTAAAGATTTCGATCTTCTTTAGCCTTCTGGCCACCAAGAGTGGTATTCTTGGAAAAGTCCACCCTTGATGGGTCTGGTCCCACAGGGATGCAGCTGTTAATAATTCAGGAAGCACATTCAGTGGCAGGAAATTTACAGTAGCTTAAAGTGATACAGAAGATGGAATAGGGTTGTCTAGCCCAAAAGCTAAGGCTTTAAATTGGAAACATGCTCAGCAAATCAAGCAAGTCAGTTTGGAAAATATAGCCCTTTTGAATGAGCTCAATCACATTTTGGATACCCAAGTCCTTGGACTGCCAACCAAAGCTGCTCCTTTGTCCTTGTGGTAGTCACTACTCCAGGATGACAAGCCTGTATTTCTGGAACTAGGACATACTTGCCACCTGCCTGTTTGCTACTTGGTAATAAATTCACCATTAGGCCATGTTTCTGGCCCCTCAATCCTATGACAGGCATTCCTCCTCCCCTCTATAAAGGCTCCAGGTCAGGATGAACAAGACAGGCCTTCCTCCACAGAAATACCCACAATACTTGCCTTTCTACCCTCCTCCATGCTTCCATAACCAGGTGTTCAACTAAAGAATCATGGGCCTCAACAGCAAACCTTTGTGATTAAAAGAAAAAACATATTAGTAGTTCAAAAAGACATAACAAAGCAAAACTGAGCAAGTTATTTTTTTCGTTACATAATCAGTTTACATCTTCTATTCCTCAGTACTTTGCTCATTCAATGATGACTAATAAAGATCTACAGAGGCAGTCTGATAAAAGCTGGTTCTGCAGTCAAGAAATAGGTTAATTCTTATCTTTGATAATGGGTATGCTGGTAAATGTTTATGGGACATAAGGGTAAAGCAATGTACACACAGATTTATGCTTCATCTGCCTTGTAAACTTTAAAGTGCTCAAATGTTAGTTATTACCTGTAACATAACTTGTCACCACCTTTACACATTTACCTATAGCTTTTACTGAGGATAACAAAATATGTAAATGCAACATGTCATACTCTGGAAACTTCACATGGGCTTTCCAAGAATGTATTATGTCATAAAAGTGAGGAGGACTTACATTCCTTTGAATGCCATAATAAATTTCAGGGGGAAAAAAGTCTATTCTTCAAGTTGCTTCCCTGAACTAAATTAAATTAATTACAAACATTTATTAACTATGTGGGAGGAAAAGAAAAGGTGTGATCCCACCGACTAAAATTCTATCAGGAAAGTTAGCCTCAGACAAATGGAAAGCTCTAAGAAATGAAATTTTACAAACACAAAGACAAACAATTCCAATGAGAAGTGAAAGAGAAAGCTGTCTAAACAGTCAGTCAACAAGCGTTTATTAAGCATCTACCCTGTGCCAGGTACTGTGCTAAGCACCTCAGACACAAAGAAAGGCGGACTTAGTCCCTACTCTCAAAGAATTCATAGTCCATTGGGACAGCCAACTCATCAAGTAACTCAGTTTTAAAGCAGGTGTGTACACAGATGGAAACAACAATAAGTAACAGAGGGTTAATACAAGAGTGTGACATGGCCCTGTAAGAATAGAGTTAGGAGTGAAACTCAGAATGGGCTGAGGCTAAGGAAGAAAGCTAAGGACACCAAAAAGGTGGGAGCTGTGGGCACAGGGAGAAAGGGTGGGAAGGGTTGCTATATTTGAGAAAAGAGGAGGATTAAAGAAGAGACAGGACATACGGTAAATGGGACTCTGTTAAGTGATGACAGAAAGACAAGCCTTATTTTGCTATCTTTAATGAGTTCATGCACAAATGTGATGGGTACATTAACCTAAAGCCCTGCCCCACTCAAGTTTTGCTAGTTTTTCCTTAAAAGGTATTGAAACTGTCCTCAAAATTTAATTAACTCAGGGCACTAAGCCTTGTACTACTGATTTCCTGGTTGCCTGAGAACAAAAATCACCAGAACAATTTCCCTCAGGTTTCTGACTTTGGACCACCACGGGTAACCTAGAGGGAAGGAAGCAGGGCTCACCTTAATAATGGCTACATTATACCCTTCCTTTTGATGCTAAGAATGTCCTTCTCCTCTTATAATTAAATAAACCTTTTGTTTTGTGGATGGATGGGTGTCTCATTCATTTCATTCTAATATGGAATCTGAGGTACCTGACATGATCCCCTTATAATAGCTATCATTTATATAGTGCTTATTATGTGCCAGGCACTGTGCTAAGCAAAAATATTATCTCATTTGATCACTCACTTTATGGACCATTACACAGGCCCAAATGAAATACATCTCTGGGTACCAAAATAACAAGGGAATGATTACTGAGCCAACTACAAAAGATATAAGCCATCTTTTACTCTGGAAAATTCTAAAAAAGAGAGTAGTAAACACAAAAAGACAGCATGGCTTCATGAAGAATAGGTTATGCCAGACTAACCTCATTTCCTTTTTGAACAGGATTACTTGACTGACTCATGTAGGTGACTGTAGATACAGCTTAGCTAGAATTTAACAAAGCATTTGACAAAGACTCTCACGTTACTTTTGTGGAAAAGATGAAGACGTGGGCTAGATGATGATATAATTAAATCAATGTAGAACTGCTTCTATGGCCAGATCCAAAGAGTAATCACTGATGGTTCAATGTCAACTTAGAAAGAAGTTTCCCAAGGAAGACTCTGGGATTTGTGCCTGGCTTTGAGCTGTTTCATGTTTATCCACGGAATAGGATAAAATCATAGGCAGCATGCTTATCAAATCTGTAGACAGGAGAAAGATAAGACATTGAAAATGGAGTGAAGAGCCTAAAAGATCCCTGCAGGCTAAAACATAAAGCCAAATCTAATATGATGTGTGAAGTATTATATGTGGTTTAAAGAAATCATCTCCTTAAAAACAAGATGGGAGAAACATAGCTAGATCTAGCTCTTCTGAATATGCGCCAAATGAGATGTTGCAACACAGAAAGTTAATTTGGTCTCAGCCTGCATTTAGATAGGCTTAATGTCTAGCAGAAAGAAGCTGTAATTCCTCTGTCTGCTACCCTGGTTAGATAACATATGAAGTATGAAGAATCTCATATTTTGTGAAAGACATTGGCAGACTAGAAGCACGAAGAAGACAACCAGAATTGGTGGTACTATAGCTAGGTAGTGCAGTACAATAGAGTACTGGGTGTGGAGTCAGGAAGACCTGAACTCAAATCCAGCCTCAGATACTTACTAGCTATATGAACTTGGGCAAGTCAGGAGTCAGGAAGACCTGAGTTCAAATCCTGCCTCAGATACTTACTAGCTATATGAACTTGGGCAAGTCACTTAACCTCTGTTTACCTCATTTTCCTCAAATTGAGTGTAATAATAGCACACTATTGTTGTGAGGATAAAATTTAATAATATTTGTAGCCTGGCACATAGTAGGTATTTAATAAATGCATGTTTTCTTCCTTTCTTATGACCATACTATATGAGAATCAGCTGAAAAAAAGTAGAGATGTTTAGTTGATTGAAAATTGGGGAGGGGTGAGTTAGGGAGAGGACATGAAAATCTAAAATTAAACACATAGAATATCTTTCACTCTATATATGTAACCAATCTATCATGGAGAAGAGAATAGACTGGTTAGGCTTGGTCCCAGAAGGTAGAACTAAATACAATGGATACAGGTTGAGAAGGAGCAAACTATGGCTTGATACAAGGAAGAATTTCTTAAAAATCAGAACTACCCAAAAGTAAAAAGCACTGCAACAGGAGATGATTGATGTTCCCTCACTGAAGGTCTTCAACTGAAGGCTGGATGGCTACTTGTCAAGTATTTTTATGGGAGGATTAATGTCCTCTAATGTTCTATCCAACTAAGGGATTCTGAGATTCAGGGTATGAAATGTTGGGCTGGGAAATATGAAAACGCAGATTTTAAGCAAATCATTTAACTGCACAGATATGTCCAGAATAGTAAGAATTGTTTGCCTTTAATCTTCAACTCCATAAACTAATGTTTATTTTTTTAAAACCTACTGATGTACTAATCACCTCCAATAAAAATCTTCGACATCAAATTAGTTAAACTATTAGGTAAAAGGGGTTTTGTTTTTTCTAGCTTTCTCAATAGGGGTGGGAAGAGGTGGGAGGAAGAAGGTAGATCCCTATGAAAAGAAAATTTAATTTTTAAAGAAGATAAACTATGAGGTTTGCTGTGATAACACAACCTTATCAACCAATCCATAGGCATTGATTAAATACCTACCATAAGACAGACACTATGCCAGGTACAAGAGATACAGGGGAAAAAATGAAATAACCCTCGCTCTCAAGGAGCTTATATTATCATATTAGGGGAAACAACATGGAGACATAATAAGTGGATACAAAAGAAATACAAGTAGATAAAATTTTGCACGAGGAAGGTGGGGACGTGTCCCCTGTTTGGGGAAGAAGCAGGAACTTCATATACACTTTAAGTTAAACTGGTTTCATAAATATTAGCCCATTAGAGTCTCAGGGCAACCCTGTGAAATAGTTATGGCAGGCATTATTATCCTAAGCCATTTAAAAAAAACCAGAAGGGTTAACTGGATTACCCAAAGTCACTAGCAAGCAGCAAAGTCAAGGCTTGAGCCCTGGTATTTTCCCTCCTAGTTCAGAGGTCTTTTTACTATATCATGTTTCATATATACCCTGGGGAATTAAGCAGTTGTTCGTCATAAGTTTCAATTCCAAAATTATCTTCCTACTTCATTCTCAAGATGTATAGATTAACTGCATTTCTATATGAAATAAAGATTCAAAAGAAGTAAACATGTAAATGCTACTTCCATTATCGGTTAAGTCTCAATTCTGACTTGTTTTTATACAATTGTACTAATAAGTAAAGAAAGAATATCCATGCACTTTCCCCAAAAGGAGAGAATAAGTTGGGTTACCAGTTGTGAGGTACATACAGTGAGGAGACAAAGAGGTGAATTAATACTGGACAGAAAAGAGCATCACGTAAATTTTTTTTAAGTACCTTTTAAAACTATGAGGCACCACCCTTTTTTCAAGGTAAAGTGGGAGTTCTATGAGTACAAAATATTGCTTACAGTATTAGATATGTCAGTCACCATGTCTCTTGGTTTTGCTTAACTGTTTTTCTTTGCACTCTCTAGGGGTATTTGGGTAGGGGATGGATATCAAGAACAAAAGGTATGAATTAAACTTTAAAAAGTTTAAAATTGTTTTGATTTGCATTTCTCTTATTAAAACAACTCTAGGGTTCACCTTGAACCTAACAAACTGATAAGGATGACAAAAATAAGGAATAATAAACATGGAAAACGCTGAAGAGACGCACATTAATAAACTGTGAGAGAAGCTGGAAAACTGTTCTAACCATTCTGGAAAAAAATTTGGAATTATTAAAAAAAAAAAAAGGACTCAACTGTCCATACCCATTGAGTCAAAGAGCTCACTGTAAAGTATGCATCCGGAAAGGAGGTCAAAGACAGAAAGGTCCCATACATACCAAAATATTCATAGCAGCACTTTTGGAGGGAAAGATGTCAATTGATTAGGAATACCTAAACAAATTGCAGTGCTAGAATGTAATGGAATATTACTGTACTGAGAAAGAACAAGTATGAAGAATATAGCAAAACATGGAAACGTGTATATGAACTGAGAGAAAGTGAAGTAAGTAGAACCAAGAATCAATATACACAATAACTGTAACAATATAACTGGAAAAAAATGAAACTGAAAGCTATGTAACTATAACCAAACTTGGCCCCAGAGAAGAGTTTAGAAAATACATTTTCTTCTCTTATTTGCAGCAGAACAGGGCTACATGTATGGAACATTATAAATACTGACAGATACCTGATTCTATGAAGAGCTGGTTAGTTTTGCATAACTTATTTTTTCTTTTTTTTTTATTCTTTCCAACAAGGGATAGCTTCCTGCCTAATGAGGAGGTAGACATATTCAGAAATGAAAGTAATGCAAAAAAACAAGAGATGTAAATTTTTTTTTAAATTTAAGGACAACGAAAAAGGAAAAAAAAACTAAATAAAAATAAAATAAACTATGAGTATATGTCAATGGGCCTGAAAATCATATTGCTTACCTTAACATAATATACAATACATTCACCAGGGTATCATCATCCATTAATTCAATTTTATCCTTAGCTAAAATACGAAGAGTAAGAAACTGAGGATGGTCTCGGACATAAGGAATATTTCTCATCAAATCAGACTTTTCCTTTTGAAACTGCCAAAGTACTTTACATGCACATTCCACATGTTTTTCTGAAAGCTTGGCTGTATTGTTTCTAACTATATTAAAAATCTGTTCTTCATCCACACATTTATTTATTTGGCTAAGTAAAGGGTCAATGGTTTTAGGTCCACGCTCAAAGACTCTCCAGAAGAACTCATAAGCAGTTCTCAGTCGAAGCATGATGGAAAGTAATCACTATGTGGATTACTTAATGAAACCTAGGAGAAATTTTCTCTCTTTTGCATTACTTTTCTCAAATGAAAGAAGTAGTTGTAAACATCACGTGACATAGGTTGGTACAAAAACATCTGTTTTGGCTCTGCCTTTTAGACTTCCATTATGAATACTCAGAAGTTCATTTCAGTATGCAGAACCTGTAAAAAAAAAAATTGAGTTATCATTGTTATATTCATGTCATTATCTAATTCCAAAGTTCAGATAGAAATGTTATTTTTTTTATGCTTGATCTGGACTTATCTTATTCATCAGAATTTAATGCAGTAGAATTTGGCCTCAAACCAAATTTTTCCCCCTGGACTCTACTTTTTGAATTTGCTCCTAAACCTACTATTAATGGAAAGTTTACAAATTTGGCCAAGAAAGCAAAAAAACAAAACAAAAAAACAAAAAAAAAAAGCAAAAAAAAAAATTCTTCCCTAAGCAAAGAGCATGTTTCCCACTCTATTCTTACAGTGTCCTCAAAAAACTCAAACAATTTAAGTACTGCATTTGGCCTTGGTGAAATCTGTCAATTAAAATTGTTTAATCATCAGTCAAGGAATCTAAAAAGTCTAGAACAGTAACAAGATAGGGTAAATGAATAAATAAGAATTCAGAATATCTGACATAGAAAAACAAATCTTTGTAAAATATACGCATTGTAAATTGAATTGAAAAGGGATGAGTGGTAGGTGCTCAGCATTTATATAAGCAATGGCTTAAAACAACTGTTAAATGACTTATTTTCTCAATCTATGGTCTTTTCCCTAAAATTAATTTCTCATTTAGTGTCAATTTGTTCCTAAGGTTTTTATTTTATTTTATTTTTTTCAATTATGTGTTAAGCTAGTATTTCATTCCATCAGGAGAACCAATAGAGTATCACCAAAAAAAAAAAAAAAAAAAAAAAAGGAAAGGCTATCTAAATCAGGAGAGAGACACTGATTTTTATTTATGGTAAAGACCAATTTACAGTGAGGGTAAAGAAAAATCTACAGTGAGTCTATCCTGCCACAGTAACATATCCTTTGTTTTTAGATCTTGACATTCAAAATTTGGAAAGCATTATTTGGTAGTAAAAAGTATTTGCATTTTTTCTACTAATTAAATGGGTTACAAAATTATCTACAGAACCATAAAATCAAATGATTAGATTCTTGTTGCTTTTCAGTCCTGTCCTTCATGAACCCATGTGGGGTTTTCTTGGCAAAGTTACTGGAATGGTTTGCTATTTTCTTCTTCAGCTCATTTGACAGATGAGGAAACTGAGGTAACCAGTTTAAGTGACTTACCCATGGTCACACAGCTAGTAATGTCTAAAGCCAAATTTGAGAAGAAAAGCCTTCTAGACTTCAGGCCTGGCACTCTATCCACCATGCCACCTAGCTGCCTGATTAGATTCTTAGTTCTCAGTTAAATCTGCTGTATCTTGACTTGGCTCTTTTGGACCAGCCTACGGCTAGGTGCTTGATCCTTGGAACCCTTGAAAGAATTTCTGATAAAGTAAAAACAAAGAATTTTTTAAAAAGATAAAAAAAGGATAGACAATTGCTAATACTAAGTTCATAGGATGCTTTAGAACTGAAAAGGATCTTAAAAGTCATTTAGAACAACATCCTCAGTTTATAGATTTAGGTGAGATGTATGAGATACATATTATGTCCATTGAATAGATTAGGAAACTGAGGCTCAAAGATGTTAAGTGACTTGCCCACAGTTACACTAATATTCAAATCCAGGTTCTCTACACAATAACAATATAATAACAATATAAATGTTAACTATCATTATTTCAATAATAATGATAGTTAACATTTATCTAGCACTGAACATGTACCAGTACTGTGCTAAACACGTTACAAATATTATCTCACTTGATGCTTACAATAACCCAAGAGGTAGGTTCTATTATTATCCCCATTTTACAGATGAGGAAAGCTGAGCCAAACAAAGGTTAAGTGACTTGCCCAGGGTAACAAAGCTCGTAAGTGCCAGAAGCCAGATTTGAATTCAAGATTTTCTGACTCCAGGCTTGGCACTCTAATCTACTGTGCCAGCTAACTGCCTCCTAAAATGTTTAACAATCAGCTCTCTGAGGAAGTAGGGGAAAGGGATTGTACCCATGACACCCTTTCAAGTTTAATTCGCACAACTAACATTTTCTCCATCATGTAAGTCTAGACAATCGACAAAACAATAACTTAAGCCCTGATTTTTCTTAAGTATAAATGGTCATGCTGAAAATTTAACAATCTTGAACCTGGTACTTCCTGGCTCTAGCATACCACTAGATGGGAATATACATGAGAGACGTTATAAAGGTAAATTAACAGGCCTTAGCAACAGATTAGATATGGGGGTCAGAGAGTGAGGAACTGTGGATGACAGCTATATTGTAAGTCTGGGGAATAAGAAAGTTGCTTTCCACAGTCATATGGAAGTTAGGAAGGGAAGAGAGCTCAGGGAAAACACAATGAGTTCAGTTTCAGACTGTTGAGTTTAAGATGTCTACTGGACATCTAGTATAAGGTATCCAATTGGCAATTGGAAATAGGAGACTGTAGGGTGGCAGAGAGGTTGGGGCTGGATAAGTAGATCAGCATAGAAATGATAAATGAATCCATGGGAACTGATGAGATCAAGTAAAATAATATAAAGGAAGAAGAAAAGGTGGCCCAGGACAGATCCCTGGGTGACACACACAGTAGGTGACCTGGAAGAAAATCCAGCAAATTGTCAACAAGCATTTATTAAGTGCACACCATGTGCCAGGCGCTGTTCCAAGAATTGGGACTTCGAATACAAGCAAAGAGAAAGTCTCTGCCCTCAATGAGCTTACAATCTAAAGGGCAAAGACAACACATAAAAGAAAGATGAAAATGGGGTAGAAGGACAATGAAGGTACCTGGATCTAAGGCATGCAAAAGAAAGTCCAGGAGATTCAGGAGCACAGCCTTGAAAGGAATGAAGACAAGCCGGCCTGGGCAACCTACTTAAAATGAGATTCTGGAAGGAACCATCCAGTCAGATGGAGTAACCACAGGAGACCTCAGCATGTGAATTCCAGGGGTGGAGTAAGTGAGCTTCTAGCATGAAGAGTTTCTGGGGTAAGGTAGAGTCAGGAGTGCTGCCTAGAGAGAAATAAGAAGACAAGACTAAGATGGTAGAGTCCAGGAGGTAGGAGAACCAGAAGAAAGCATAGTCATCAAAACCTACAGAGAAAAGAGCATCAGGGAGAAGAGGGTGATCAACAGTGTCAAAAACTGAAGAGAGGTCAAGAGGGATAACTGAGAAAAGGCCTTTGGATTATTGGTAACTTTGGAGAAAGCAGTTTAAATTGAATGATGAGGTCAGAAGCCAGACTATAGAATGTTCAAAAAAAAAAAGAGAGAGAGAGAATGAGAGGAAAGGAAGTGGAAGCATGGATTGCAGATGACCATCTCAAGGAGTTTGGTCACAAAAGAGAGGAAAGATATGGGATAATAAATAGCAGAGATGAACAAATCAAGTGAGGGTTTTTTAAGGATGGGGGAGGCATAGGCATGTTTGCAGGTAACAGGGAAGCAGCCAGTAGACATGGAATTACCGAAGTCTGTGGGGATGAGAGAGGAGGGTAATCTGCCCGAGGAGACAGAATGGAATGTAATCACTTGTGCATGGGGAGGGGTTTGCATTGACAAGGAGAAGGGCCACCTCTTTAAGTAAAAGGAGGGTAAGGGGAAGACAGTGGCAGAAGGCATTTGAGTAATGAAAGATAACTGGGAGCTCTCAAATGGCCTCAATTTTTTTCAATTAAATATGAGGCAAGGTTCTCAGTTAAGAGGAGGGGGAGAGTTGGGAGGTTTGAAGAGGAATAAAGAATTTTGGAAAAGATAGTAAGTCGATTAGGAGAGGTATAAAAGGATTACTTAGTCCTAGTGAGGGTCCAATTGAAATTATGTAACATAAATTGGTAGGGAACTCAATTGAGACACCCTTTCCAGAAGCCTTAGGAATATTAATTGGATTATAGGAAAGAGCATGGCTTGAGTTCTAGGGCCTGCTAGATATGATGTCTCCTATTTTCCTTTAAAATCCCAGTATTTCTAGTTTCTTACAAAGTAAGAATGTCCCTTGGGGATACCAGGTGGTATCATTAATATATCAAGGTGTATAAACAGTTTACGAACTTTTCTCATATTATTCCAGAATTGTTTTCCTGACCAACTCACTTCACCAAAAGTATTTTAATTCAATTCAATAAACATGGATTAAGTTCCTATCATGTGCCAAGTACAGTGCTAAGCACATATTAGTGTGCCTGTCTTCCAGGAGACACTTCAAAAGGGAGCTATTTTGTTGAGTTCAAATAGAAGCCAGACTAAAAAAAGCTTCTACCCCTAGGTACAAATCCCCAAACCCTACTTTATATTGAACAGCAGAACTGAAAGCAACTACCCCCTTACTGCCCCGAAGTTAATGTCTGTCATAAATCACCCCCACTCACCAGCTTGGAGAAATGTAAAGGGCAGGGATTTAGCAAGTCAGTTCCCTTATCTGGGTCTCAGTTTCCTCATCTGTAAAATTATCACTGGATTCGAGACCTGTAAGATCCCTTTCAGCTCTAAATCACAGGATGCTCAGACCAGCTTTCTTCCATTCCTCTAGGAATGGGAGGCAGACGCAGGAAACAAACTTGCCCAGAGGCCAGCCCAGGCTGGGCACTGAGCAGATACACTAGGACTGGGTTAGTCACTACTTCTCTCTGGGAGCTCCTACAAGCCTAACCTAGACTATCCCTACCCCAGAGAGCAGTAAGAGCTCTCTCTGTGCTTTCTGGCACTAAAAGAGTTCCCAAAACAGGAGGGAGGGGAAGACGGGTCCCCATCGGGTACACCGTGGATACCTTGTCGACCCCTTCCACCCACCCAAAAATTTTTAAATAATCCTCTTTTTTATTTTTTTTGGGGGGGGGGACCTCAGCCTGGTGGGAAGTGAGGTTACCCTGACTCAAACATTATAGGCTCAGAATTGGAAGGGATTTTTGTGGTCATTCAGTCCGAACCCCTCATTTTAAAAAGAAGCTCACGGAGGCTCCGAGTTCAAAGCCTTGCCCCGCAGCAGAGCCAGCATGTGAGGTTAAGAGACGGGACACACGTGGGGCTAGTGCCGCAGTGACCTTTAACAGCCTCAGGACTTTCCACTGGACTGGACTAGTTTTCACCAAGACCCCCCACTTTCCTACAATCTCACCCTGTCCTGGAAGAGGGATTCTCTCTCCTCGGGGTCAGCAGTACCAAATACCCAGTCCTGGCGGCGTGCACAAAAAGAGGAAATATACTACATATCCCGAAATGCAGTGCGGCAAAGTTAAAGTCGGAACTGGGGTTGCAAGGCATTCTGGGAATTGTAGTCACATTCATTGCAGCAGCTCGGGTTCTTAGCCTGATTCTGGTTATATATTTTGGCTTTTCTCTCTCACGCAGTCTTAGCTGCATAATCTGGAAACATTCAAAACTTTTGCTTGTAAACAGCTGTTTGCTGGGGGGAGGGGTTGTTACTACAATAAATTCGGAAAGTAGGCATTCTTTTAGTGCCTTTTGTGTAGGAATTCAATGAGGGTAGACTGAACTCTTTTAATGATTATCGAACACATTTAAGCGACTGCAGTGTTACTAGGCTTGATGTAACCAGTACAATGCTGTGTGGAAACAGGAGCCTTTGGAGGAACTCACCAGCTATTGGGAATCATTTTCCACTTGAATTCTGTGCTGGACATCCTCCATGACCGTGACAAACACCTTTGGCAAGTATGTATCTACCTGTTTTATGCCTAGTTTGATACTAATAATCAGAGGGTCATCTAACAAAATTATCTGTTCTTATATTTTTTCAAGGAATTCTGAATGATTTTGATATGTGCATGGGAGACAACTTGTTGGAGAAAATCTTTAAGGTTGTTTTTTGATCTACCAAATCAAATTATTTTTAAAGCCAACTAACAGTAGGCACAATGGAATCTTGTATTCTCTGAACCTTTCAGTCAACTGAGTGACTATAAAGATGTAGTCAAACGTAGAGTTATCAGTTATGGAAGCCTGCCTTTTCCCTTTTCATACCTTTATCGAGGATGCCTTCAGTGAATGTATAGATAATTCTCATAAAGATTTTGCAGTGATTGAAAAGTAGACATATAGGTCAGTGATTATTGATGTTTTCTTGGTTACCTTTTTCTGGTAATGTTTGTGATTTTTGTCCAAATGTATGGAAAAAAATCCTCTCTCTCTCTCTCTCTCTCTCTCTCTCTCTCTCTCTCTCTCTCTCTATTTCTCTCTCTCTCTTTCTCTCTATCTCCTCACCCTTCCCCACCTTTTTAGATCATGATATGTAAGATACTGCTACTTTTGAATATGGACATTTTGTTTAAAGGGGCAGAGAAAGAATATTTGTGGGAAAACAGTTAATAAATCAGCTTAAGAAGAAATACAATCTCTCAAATAAAATGTTATGGAGAAACAAAGACTCTTCTGAGGACCAGAAAGAAAACTGTCCCTTGGATAAATGTATTGAGAGGACCTTTTTGAAAGTGTAATGCTGACTGTAGTAATTATGGCTGCAGAACATTGTGGTCTGTCACCTCATTTGCATGTGACTGTTTTCATAGTTTTTAAGGATATTGTTGATAAAATATAAATCAAATAATTATTTGGAGACTATGAGAAGATTATATAAGAACTTATGGATCATACCTGACAAAATGATGGGGATTTTCAGTTTCGCATTAAAAGTATAAATGGGTCATTGCTTATAAGCAAACACTTTTTTGAGGTATTAGAAGATATAGGAGAGGAAGGATAGAGTATTTAAGTGCTTACTATGTGCTAGGTACTGTGCTAAGCACTGGAAATACAAATATGAGCAAAAAGGAAAAAAAAGCCCATGCCCTCAAGCAGCTTACATTCTCATAGAAAACAACACATAATAGGGGTGGGGATGAGAGGAGCTGAGAACAAGGGAAGAAACCCAAGAAGGGACAAATCTGAGAGTCAATAGCTGAGCCTGGGTTAAAAGCGAGCATGGCTGTCTTGTATGCTTCTCAAATGGAAATTCTGGGAAAGAATTCATCCATCAGAGAAGTCCCATGGGTTAGTCATCTCCAACTTGAAAAGGCAGCTGAATAGATATGATGAAAGGAAGCAATAGAAAGATTTGAGTTCAGGAAGAGTCTAGGATAGAAAGCTCAGGAAGCAAAGAGAGGAGTTGCTTTCAGAAGATAGGTAGGAGCTGATAAGATCTTCATTTGTTTTGCTGGGAACTCTGTTGATTGGAAGGGATGCATTGCTTTGCTGAGAGCTGATTGTCTGGAAAAAGGCAGGATTACTCTTTAGAGCCACCTATACCCAAAAAGAAAGGAAACCTCTCCTGGATTTTCTTTGGTATCCACACTAAGTGTGGCATTAATATGGTGAGCCACTTGGAGCTGAGGGACACCAGATTGCATGAAGAGGAAGAACCAGCTAGAGTCAGAAAAATGGAGCATGTTAAAGCTTCCTTACCAGTGAGCACTGGGATTAGGCCCGTGAGTGACTAGTATACTTCTTGCAAGATAGGGAGATTTAGTCTCCAAAAAAAAAAATCTAATAATTGATAAATCAATAAATAATAAATAAAATAGTTTGTTGTTCCTTCAGTGGCCCAGGAGCAGCAGAAAAGTGGCTTTGTGTAGCAAGAGAACTACGAGGATCAAATGAAGAAAAGATATTGTTCAGTAAGCAACAAGTGGTGCAGACTATTCTGTAAAGAAATGCAGGACATCAAGGCCTGCCATCCTGAGTCATGTGCCTCCCTATTAGTGTACCCACTCTGTCCCCCACTGTATACACTGGTGGGAGAATATGACCCAAGTTAATGGGGGACTATTATACAGTTATCCCTTCCACATGGTAGGGATTAGGGGTATGGTACCCTCATGATTTGGAAAATCCACATAAAATTTTTTGGCCCTTCATACCAGAGAAGAAGTCTGAATTATTATGGTATTAAATGATAAACTATATTGATATCATGTAATACTACACATTGATATTATAGAATACTACACTATATTTCTGAGTTTCTAAACTTTTTCTGTGCCAACTGCTGTCCTTTATGTTTTTTCTGCAGCTTCCACAAAACTCCCCCAAAATTTCCATTTAATTTCTTATGGCAACCCGCGATATATCGAAACCAAGATGGGGAAAGTCATAATGTGAAATGGATAACTGTATTCCTTGCTCCTGTCTTCTATTGAGTAAATATTATAATTATTCCTGCAATTGCCTTCTAATGAGTAAATGTTATGATTGTTCTAACTTTTGCCTAACATTTAGTAAATATTTCATGTTATAAGAGTCAATGGTGTCACTGTGACTGATTTCATGTAAATGAGAAACACAGTGTTGTGGACTCACACTGAAGTGAAGAGTAGCAGGAATGATCTAATCTCTTCCCCCCAATATACAAACACAGACAGACAGACAGACAGACACACACACACACACACACACACACACACATACACACATACATTACTCCAGACCCTGAAAGACAGCTTGAATTGTAGCCTTGGCTGGCCCTGCTCTAGGAAAGAAACTCAGACCTTCAGGTTGGGGCTGCTTCCAAAGGTAGGTTGGGGTGATTCAGCCCAAAGAGAAAAAAAGGAGGGGAGGGTACTTCAAGGCAAAACTGTCTCCATGACTTGGTTGGGGCCATGCACAGACTACATATGAATGAATGAAAAAGCATTTATTAAGCCTTATTATATGCCAAGTGGTGTGCTAAGTAATGGAAATATAAATACAAAAATGAAAGACCCTCTCTGTCCTACAGTTGGATGGATATCTCATAGGGCTGGTTCATCATTACATATCTTGAACAGACAGGGATAAGATCAGAAGCCAGGTTGTAAGGAGTTAAGAAGAGAGTAAGATGAGATAAAGTAGAGGCACCTATTATAGGTGGCCTTTTCAAGTGGTTTAGCCATACAGGACAGAAGAGGTAGAGGACTACAGGAGGTCAGTTATTGTGAATGGAAGGATCAAGTGATGGCTTTTTGAGGATGGGGAAGATGTGGGCATGTTTGTGGATGGTAGGGAAGGAGCCAGTAGACAGAGATTGAACATAAGTGAAAGAGTGAAGATGATGATAGAGGGGACAGTCTGTTGGAGGAAATGAGAATAAATGAGATCACTTGAATAAAGAAAGGGCTTAGCCTTGGTAAGGAGTAAGGCCCCTTCATCGTGTGAGAGGAGGGTAAGTGATAAGAGATGAGAAAGAGGGGAGAAGATGGAGCTCATGGCAAATGGCCTGAATTTTTTCTGTAAAATATGAGGCAAGGTTTTCAGCTGAGAGAGTGAGGGAAGGGGGAGCCATGGGAAATTTGAGGAGAGACAAAAAGGTTTGGAACAGCCACTGTGGAGAGTTAAATAGTGAGTTAATAAGGGAAGTATAGTAGGATTGCTTCTCTGGATTTCAAAGAAAATGAATTTGACTAGATTATCTCTGAACTCACTTTCAGACCTGTGAGTCAATTATTCCTAATCCTAAAATATATTCAAGTGCTGTGCTAGATATCTGTGGCATAGAAAATTGTAAGACTTGATCCTATCTTCCAGGAATTTTGAATTCCTCCAGTTCTTAACAACTGACACCTATATCCCTTTATCTGACCATAATGTGTTGGCTTTCCACCTCTCCCTCTTCCTTTCCTTATCAAACTCTATTCTTTATCCTCACTGTGATCTCCAGTCCCTTGACCCCTCAATTCTCTCTTAGGCCATCACCTCTACACTAGCCACTCTCTCCTTTTCCCCATCTTAAGCCCTTGGTGAACCAGTTCAACTCTACTATCCTCTTCTCTAAGTCCCTGGTCCCTTTTATCACATTGCCAATTTCACCCTGACAAGCTTTAGCCTTGGATGACTCCCACCATCTGTCACCTTCATTCCTACACACATGCTGCTGAATGACAGTGGAGAAAATCATGTAACCATTCTGATGGAGTTGATTACAAATTCATCCTACACAACCTCAAGTGGGCCATAACTGCCTTAAACCATTCTTACATCTCTTAACTGCCTTTCAAACTGGAGCATCTCATTTTTCAGCTCTGAGCATTTTCTCTGCCTGTTCCTCCATCCACTTCCTGGCTAATCCTTTATGTTCCAAATAAACCCCCATCTTTTATAGGAAGCCTTTCCCAACCCTTCATAATTCTAGTGCCTTCCTTCTCTTAATTATTTCTCATTTATCCTATATATATAGCTTGTTTGTACATATTT